TTTGAAAATTATTTTAAGAGATAAAATGTCTTAAAGTAAACCTATACAACTAAGGATCATAATAAAAACAATAAATGCTGAAGTATAATGTGACTCTCAAGCTTTAGTTACTTTTGCTAAACTCTGAGACTATATTGATCACCAAAAACTTTTTTTTTTTTTTTTTTTAAAGAGATGGGAGTCTTACTATGTTGTCCAGGCTGATCTTGAACTCCTGGGCTCAAGCGATCCTCCCACTTCAGCCTCCCACTTCAGTTCCCTTCAGTAGCTGGAACTACAGGCATGCACCACCACACCTAGCTGAGAGGATGTATATTTTATCATCAATTGCTAAATATATATGACACTAATCTCTGAACTTGTTGGGCCATTCTCATTTAGCTACATTCCCATCATTTTCCCTGTGAGAATTAAGGTTAGAAAAACATTGCAAGGACTACCCGCATGATAGTGGTTGGATTTGTCACCTCTTATTTGAAAAAGCACATACCTAAAAATGGATGTGAAGATTCCCTGAACTAAACTGGTGTTCACTCTCCAAACCTACCCTGAGCAATTTGAAGCCCACAGTTTGGGACTATAGGTTTAGTTTAAAACAATCATAAACATATAATCAGAAACACACAGTACTATCACTGGGTTTATTCAATACTCAATACAAAGTCTCATTTCAAGAGAGATAACCCCTGTTTAAGAAGTAGGATACTGATAATAAAATAATTCTTAAATCAACTACTGCCATGACTTGCATTACTAAGCATAGCTCCTGGCACATAGTAGGCACTCAAAAATCTATTAATAAATGAATCACTGACCAACCTTACATAGGTTACTCAACTATTCTATTAACATTAACTTTCTATATATAAAGGTAGGCCTTCTCTGGTCTCATTTTCACAATAAGTCTTTGGATTGATTAAGGCACTCTGAAGCTGACATCAAGACAATCAGAAATAAGATCCTTCCATTTCATGCAAAAGTCACACAGAATATATCATATTTCCCATGTTGAGACTCACTTGCCTTGAATCTTAAATATCATTTCCTCCAGAAGGAGTCTCCCAATTTTTCCCTGCCTTGAAGACATTATTGCCCTTGGGTTATTAACTCTCCCTGAATGCTTTATTTTTAATTTGTAGCACACACCACAACAGTAATTAAATAACATTTGTAAAATATTTGTCTTCTGTTCTGGACTTCGCGTATCCTGAGGTGAAGGTCATCTGGACTTTGTTGATTGACTTCCTATTTCTTGCAACTAGAAGTGCCTGCACATGGCTGTTCAGTAAATATTTATTCAAGCATTTATTTGAATATTTATTCAAATGTTCATAAATTTATTCATTTATTTATGAAAACTGAAAAACAAAAAGTCAGCCAATAGTGTCTCTTCAATGTACTCAATAGAAGCGTAGAAAGCAAGGGAGGAAACATTAGGTCAACAGAAGTTTAGTGTTCAGAACATCGTTCTGTTCTCAATATGAAACTGAGAAAACAGCTTTTTCCGTGGCAGTAATAGTGATTTAAAAAAAGTATGTATCTGTGTACTGTCTTATAACTCTAAAAACACTGATATGACATGTTGGTCTTATGACTGAAAATATCAAAAAAGTTCATATAGAACTCTCCGAGGATCTAAACGAAGTTTTTAAAGAGTTGTGACAGGTATAAAATCCATTTAACCTGAAAGTCTTTATAAATGACTTAGAGACTATCTGAGAATTTTTTTAGTGTTCACCGCATAATATTCTGTCAACAAACTAGCTGGAATGAAGTCCTTGTTTTTTTTTAAAGTTTCAGAGCACTAAAATAGATGCCAATTCCAAACAAAATCTTTGGGCACTGTGGACTATAGTAGCCCTATTTTCTTGAGAGACAATGGAAGGCAACCTGAGAACTTCTGCTAATTGCCAAAGGGACTTCCCAGGGATTGTTGGTAAGTTGACCCATACCTCTGAGGTTCCAAAGTAAACTTCCACAACTTTTCAAAAGGAGCATAATCTTTAGAATTCTAAGAAGATGAGAGTGGAAGAGAGATGTCTATTTAAATAATAAACTCAAATGCTCTTTAATGATTAAAAAAGTTTTTAAATCAACTTTCTATGACTATATAAAAATTCATAAACAGAAAAACCACAGGGTAGATCCAAATCTAGGCAAATATTATAGTAATGGAAGTATCACAGTTTGCAAAAGTCTATGACAGAGCAGTGGGTTAACAAAAAAATGTATGGGTTCCCATTATTTGCCTTGTAAAAAAATAATCTTACTTAAAACAACTCATTCATTTTAGAGGCCATGAATACCTTGTGCAATAAGTTAAGTAGCTTATACTTAATCCTATATGAAAAAAAAATTCCAGAATAGGACAGGTCAAAGCCAAAAAAATACCCTGAAATAAAGTGAGCAAAACAAAATACTAGATTTTTAGAAGATTTTGTTCCATCTCTCTAACGAGTTCTGTTTGGAAATTTGAGTTTGCAATAATATATTATCTTACAGCCCCATCAAATTTGATGAATGCTAAAGCATTTTGATATACATTATCTAATCTGATTCACATAATTGTTCTGTGAAATACACAGGCCAGGAATTTTACAAAGAACATGAGGTTTCAAGAGGTTAGGTTTCTTGACCAGGGATCGTAACTCAAAAGTAGAAGAACCAGGACTGGAAAAGCTTCAGATCCCTAGACCACTGCTGTTTCTAAACAAGTATATTATCCTGGCCCCTCCCAAGCTGCTGTTCATTCTTATCCCTCACCAAAACAAGCAATAAGATAGCAGTACCCTTAGCTTCAAGTACATCAAGTGATGTAAAACATTTCCCTAAAAAGATCATATCCCCATTATATCCCCATATAATGTCAAGTCTTAGAAACCTTATGAAATTATATTTATTATTCTTGGTCTGGTATCCAGCTTGCATAGAGAGCATACCTTTCTTTGTATCATAAAAGAAAAATAAATATGTTTTTTCCTCCTATAAAAGAACAGGGACCTTCCTGATAAGCATCGGAATCACTAAATCCAAGTTGTTCCAGTCTATTCTAGTGTGAGGTTAGGGCTGAAAAGTGAGATAAAATCTATCTTCCCTATTTGAGGATAATGAGATGAAACCTCAAGATGAAAGAAATGTCGTTAACTACTGAATGGGAGAAAGAGTGAGAAGTTTTAAACTTTTTTTTTTAAATGAGTGACTTGATGTCCTGAAGGAGGAAAAGTTATTTTTTTTCTTTTTCTTTTTTTTTTAATAGAGTCTCGCTCTGTTGCCCAGGCTGGAATGCACTGGCGTGATCTCGGCTCACTGCAACCTCCACCTCCCGGGTCCAAGTGGTTCTCCTGCTTCAGCCTCCTGAGTAGCTTGGATTACAGATGCATGCCACTACACCTGGCTTATTTTTGTATTTTAGTAGAGATGAGGTTTCACTATGTTGGCCAGACTGGTCTCAAACTCCTGACCTCAGTTGATCCGCCAGCCTTGGCCTCCCCAAGTGCTGAGATTACAGGTGTGAGCTACCACGCCCAACCAAGAGTTCAATTCTTGATGTAAAAATACTGTAAGTATCTGCAAATCCTAGAGTTTAATAGGGAAAAAAAATCAACATAAAGTTCTTTGACTCCAAAAATCTTGTTTTCTTATCTGTAATATACACTGTGCTATTGCATTTGCACAGTATGAAAGTTAAAGATAGAAAGCCTTATCAAGTAAGTGCCACAGAACGTAAGGGTCAAAGCAAGACTGACCCATACAACAAGTCTTACTCTAATCTTTGGGAGTAAACACTTGACTTTCTTCTATAAAGTCAGCCTTGTTCTTTTAAGTCAGTGGTTTTCACCCTTGAATGCACATTAGAATGAGTTTCTAAAAAATACTGGTGTCCCAGTCCTGCTCCAGACTAATGAAATCAGAATCTCTGAGAGTTCAGAAACTGGCTGGTTCTAAGGTTCAGCTGAAATTGAAAGCCTCTAGTCTAAGTGCTATCCAGTTTCAAATATGATGTCAACATGACGGCACTGTCATATTTTCCTATGGAAGAAATATTCATAAGACCAGGATTAACAGTCACAATAGCCAGAAACATCAAAATTTTACAAGCTGAATGAGTTTATTATTTGGATATAGGTGATAGTCTTAAAGTTAGTAAAATACTATAGTTAAATACTAACCATTAAAAAAAGCTTACTATAACTATATAATGCTCATTTCATTGGCTTAGGTATTAAACATTATTTAAAAATATATCTTCTACTGAGTAGTCACCCATTTTGTAAAATAATTGATTTTTGGAATTTTCCCACAGCTGTAAGTAAGAAAAGGCAAATAATGAAACCAGAAATACAAGACACCCTATTACACAGGTATACACAATCAGTTCAACAGGGAGTTTCCACTGCTCAGAGGACAAAGGACTTCTCAGAAACATTACTGCAATCATATTGCTCATTTCTTACTCAACACAGTACTACTGAAAAGGATGTTGCTATGTTCCCACCTTAACTGCCTTATGTGTTGTTCCTGTGACAGCTGGAGTCAACAAAGATAAGTTTGGCTTCTGGAAAAACCAAAATACCGATCTTCTTTATTTTTAAATTTGCTCTAAAATTCTTCCATATTATCTGATTCTAAGAATTTGGCAACAGATGCATATTAAAGTTAGAGAATGAGTAACTAAACCTGGTCTCAATTGTATGTTTAAGCAAATAGAACAATAAAAACAAGTTGCATCACATTCAAAGGAGGCTTACACTAAAATTTTGAGACAAAAAATCGCAAGCAATCTAAAATAGATTTAATATGCTAATCAACCTAAGTGGCCTAGCCAGGAAAATACTTAGGATTCCAATTTTATGAGACGTCCAAATTTAGAGGAATTTAATAGCTGCTACACTAAGGATAAGGAAACATTAAAGGTTAGAGAAAAATTTTGATTTTGTGTTTCTACCTCTTGGTCAGTGAGTTGTAACCAAATATATAACCAGGGAGTAGCATAAACTTACATGATTTATTGTAGATTGAACAGCCTTTACATAATGGTTTAGTTGCCGATCCATTGTAGCAAATTCAACCATTGCCTTGTCCATACTATATTCACTACTCACTTCAGCTGAAAGAAAAAAAAATTGCAATTATTATTTTCCACTTAAAATGCCATATCTGGAAAATGTTGCATCAATATAATCTACATCAGTCAATGGTCTAAATAATTTTGTGCAGTTATTACATCTTTTAAAAAACCTCCTCACCATACGGTGCTCCATTCAAAATTCTAAGAATACACTCAGTAGAAGACAGCTCAAAGGCAGTGGTAGGCTGGAAAGAAGAAAAGACTTGTATTCAGGAGTTCCAGGCTGTGCCCTTACTTATATGATCTTAAATCAACCAACCAACTATACCTCTCCCAGCCTCAGTTCCCTCATCCATTAAGCAGCTCAGTCTTATATCTGCTGCATAAACTGTGAAGGATTGTTAAAGGTCAAATAGGGAAGATTCTCACTTTTAATAACGCTGAGCTAGATTACTTGGACCAATCTTCCTAATGAAAACAACCAAAGACAGCAGCCGGGCACGGTGGCTCACGCTTGTAATCCTAGTACTTTGGGAGACCGAGGCAGGCAGATCACTTGAGGTCAGGAGTTCAAGACCAGCCTGGCCAACATGGTGAAACCTCATCTCTATTAAAATACAGAAATTAGCTGGAAATTGCTTGAACCCAGGAGATGGAAGTTGCAGTGAGCTGAGATCATGCCACTGCACTCCAGCCTGGGCAACAGAGTGAGACTCCGTCTCAAAAAGAAAAAAAAGAAAAGAAAGAAAGAAAGAAAAAAAAAAACAACCAAAGATATCAGATACAGCAGGAAAAAAAAAAATCTTAAAAAAAAGAGTCACAAGGTAGTAAGAAATAACCAGGGCAAAATCTAGAATAAAACAAAAATGAGAAGTGGGGCAACAGAATGCCAAAGTCACATACTATCCCACAGTAAGCTGAGATCTCAACTCTTTGTATAAAGATGAACCAAAAGTAATCTCTCACTGCTCCCTGGGACCAAAGGGAGGTTAGCCTTGGCCATGAAGCAGAACAGGGAAAAGGGAAGAGAAAACAAACTTGTTTCAGAAAAACTGGCCATAAGGCAATCCTCCTGGATTTGCAGCAGGCTGGGTTCCCCTAATCAGTGTGATCCAGAGACCCCAGTCTCTGACGTTGGTGGGAGGTGGTCTCTGGCAGATAGTACTCACAGGTGTCTGGCAGAAGCAAATATAACTACCATCTGGAGAAGACACTCTTAATCTAGGTGTCAAATAATCCCTACATATAATTTTTAAGAATGAGCAGATCACAGGAGAAAAGGCTGAAACAAAAATAAATATAAAAACAAACAGAAAAACCTTACATACCTATAATACACAAGAAAACAAGCCACTAAGAATAACAGTCAGCAGAAACAGATCCACAAATATTTCAGTTATTGTAACTATCTATATTAGTCAGAATAAGAAACAACTATGTTTACTATGTTTAAAAAATTAAAATATCCTCAGGGAACAGGAGTCTATAAAAAGGGACTAGCAAATTAGAAAAGCAAGGTAATGTTGTTAAAAGTGCTTTTAAATTGTTTCTTCAAGCTCTAAACGTAATTTAATAGATTAGGAAAAGATAGTTAACAAAGGATCCTAAAAATTTCAACTAAAAACTTTGAATTTAAGGTAACTAAATGAAAAGAAAATAAAGCTTTCTTTAATCACATTTGGGAATGAACCTACTCAAAGACTCTCCATTCAAAGACTCTGCATTCAAATACCTTAGTGCAGACAAATGTCGTTTTTCTTTTCTACTCTGAAGAATAATACCACAGATCATTCCAAAGTCATGAAATAATGTAAAGTCCATCCACATTTGGCTTTTAAAACATATGCTTTAATTTTACAATAGTTACTTATAAGCATATTTCATAGACTGTCTCCTGGGTTAACATGCTTCTGGTAGAAGACCTTTCAGCTTTTACTATTCAGGCAGCACAGAATATACATATATCTCAATGTAAGTTTAGGGGTGGGGGAAGGTGTAATGTTTACATAAAGAAAAACTTGTATTTACATTTCCCAAATTAAATATATGTTTAACAAAATGGTGCATGAGAAAAGGCTCAGGTCATACTCCAAATAAAACTGTTAGACTATTAGAGTCACAGTTTGTTGTTCTGAAAATTTCTGAATGTCAACAAAATGGACATACTGCTTGGTAGCAACATATATATGTTGCCATATATACAGCAACTGTTTGTTAAAAGTCATATTGTTTCATGATAAAGAAGTGAATTTTAAACAATTTACAACCTAATGTAATGGATGTTTTGTAATTTATTTAGGCATTTTACTGTACTTAGTTACATTTCAGTACATTGATTAGGGGTTTTAGTTAACCTATATTTTTTCCATTTAAAATAATGAAAAATAGACTACTGGTTTCACACCAGCCTTATCTAGTTAAAAGAAAGTATTGTTTCATTTTGTTTTCCTTAATGGATCAGTATATTTTATGAGTATTAGATTCGGATACTGAACTGGTCAAAAAAGTGGGTAAAGCTGGTAACCTGAACAAAGACTAACAGGATAAACTGCTTTTCCAAAATTCTGATTATTAGAGGCACCCCAGACAAAACAGACACTCACTAAAGTATCTGTTGGGAGCAAAAGTCTGAAGCATAAGAAATGAAAGTCTGTAAGGGGCTTAAATCAGTGGAAATAGATATAATGTTAGCAATCTCCCTCTGGGATTAAACAAGTTAATTTTCAAAAGCATTCAGAATATACCTAAGATATTCAAAATGCTATAGAAAAGCTGCAAAATGAAATAAATGAGGTGATAGTTCTCATTAACAGGGTCCCATATATGCTAGTAAGACCTGAGACAGAGAGTAACCTGGTTCAAAGCCAAAGAGACCTTCCTGCAAAGGAGGAAATGGGCAAGGCTTGGGTCAGTTTTGATGGCATGAAGCTTAAGGAAAGAATCTTTGGAGTCTAACTGGCTTACAGGCAGCCTCAGCTCAGGCTCCAGGGCCCAAGAATGTTGGGACAAGCTGCTGAAGAACACTAGTAAAGACTGGTGCAGCCCAAGCAACAAAGGGAACGGGGAACACCAGAAGAGATCAGGAAGGTAACTCTAAAAAGAACTGAGGATCACAGCACACCTGGAAGCAGTGCCCAGTCAGATAACTGTAGTCAGAGGGTCTTGGTCAGCTGTAGCAGGAGGCTGAGAGACCAGAGTCCTACGAGGAGAACTAGAAGAGGCTCCCACAAGAGCATCCTGAAGACAGGTCATGAGAACGTCCATGTCAAGTAGCAACCTGCCACAGCAATTTTAAGATGATTTTTGTAATTCTTTTTTGTTCTTCTTGTTAACCTTTATTTCTCGACTGCAGTAATAACCTCTTGACTTTTGGAGGAGGAAACAAGGGATAAATGCAGAAACACAGAGTTAGTTACTAACTAAAAAGTTGCTGAGGGTTGGGGTGGTTGTGGAGGGACTGACCAGGCAGAGGCTCCCTGCTACTTGATTCCACAGTATATCTTCCCACCATCAAAATTCTCCCACTCTTTCACTGAAAGCCCTTTTTGAGAATATATATCAAATTAAATCCTACACATCCATCAAGGGCTGAGCTCAGGCCCCACCTAGAAGGATTTCCTCCTTCACCTAATTTGCCTTAACACCTATACTCTTGGTATCTTGGGACCACGATCAATCTTGCCTTTCTTATCTGCATTTGTTTCCTTTCACCAGAGATTTTAATCCATTTGAGGACAAGAAAGATGCCTTAGTGTTCTTAGAATCCAACAAAGAATTATAGCAACTCTTCCTTCAATATTCTTCTAAGGCCACTATATTTCATAAATCTGACAATTAAACTTTCACCAAAATATAAATTGTCCTATCAAAGAGATTCAACTGAATTAAAAAGTAAAAGATGACATGTGATACAACTTCACTTGCCTATTTTATATTTTCATTGTGACTTTTCCATAGGAAAAGAGATGGCACCAGCACTGGGGTGGTGGGTAGAAATCACACAACGATGTTCAAATTCACAGAATGATGACTCCAGAGAGAAAAGCATTGCTGTACAACACATCTGCAAGTCTGGCATTAGGGAAGTTTAGTGCAGATGATAAAACACGGAAAGTAATGACAATGATTACATATGTATATATAATAGCTGTAGCTAACAATTAGGGAACACTATTATGTGCCAGCACTTCATACTTACATCAAATCTCAGGGCAACATAAGAGTTAGGTAGTTCTATTTCCACTTTACAAATGAGAAAACTGAAGCAACTTGCTCAAGGCCACAGAGATAGTTAGCAGCAGCGCCAGGCCTCCCACTTTGGCTTTCTAACTGCCAAGTCTGTACACTTGCCCACCTGTACAAAAAGGTATTTAAACACAAGGAGAAGGACAAGCACCTCCAACTCCTCCACGAATATCCAAGGAACAAACCTTCAAGTAGGAGAAAGCCAAAGACCCAGAGCCTCAGCTCAGCTCCCTTGGCGACCTGTTAGCATAAAACAACACTTCCAAGGAGGCCACTAGGCAATGCCACTCAGAGGCTATCAGACATGGTTCTGGAAAGCTCTTTCCAAATTCCTTAAGGAATCTGATAACAAAAAGAAAATGATTTTTCCCCTTTTTGAAGATTAATAAGCTTTAACATTGGTGAAAAGTGACCTTTCACATCAGCAAAGCTAATCTGAAGTGCTGTAAGAGCAACCAAGTCACTCAGAGAATGTTAGGAGAATAACTAAGTCAACTCCAGCTGCTAAGAGGTCAAGCTTGTACTAGGCCAAGAGCACTAGCAGCAAGAGAGATGAAAGCAGCTCCAGACTGACTACCAGGCAGCAAATGAAGAGCAGCAGGAGAGAAATGTTCAAGGGGAAGGGAGAGTACTGGAAGGTTTCACGTTGCAGAGTTACTTCTGAATAGAGCTGAAAGTTAAAAATCACTTTTATTAGCCACATATTTGACTCCCCCCACTCCCAGCCCTGCCAAGCGGAGTCTAGGAGGCTAGGAATATTCAAATTTCTTCACTGAGCCATTCTGTGAGCATTT